CAACGTAGCAACCACCCAAAATATTTACAACCACGTAGCAACCAGCAAAAACACACGTGGAAGCACACAGAACACCATATAAGCAGACATCAGTGAGATTCTTTCTGAATCTGTGTTCATGCTGGACAGCGGGAGAGGGTCATCGTATGTTATTGTTGACAGGTTTTCTGTCATCATGTCTCATCATGAATTGCTGTCAATCACATCAGAAACATCCTCTCTCTCTCTCTCTCGGCTGACCAAAAATATTAAAAGCGAGTAATGAATTCCGGCGGAAGAGTTATGAGCTCTATTCAAATATGCGGTGGCCCTCTGTGACCCGCAGCTGTCTCACATCGGAGGTGATATTAGATTCTCGCTGAGTTGCATGTGGGTGTCAGAGGCCTTCGAGAGCCGGGACGGATCCGCTCTGTCAGGCTTTATTGGGAGTTTGGCTGTTGTTGATCCTTTACTCCTTTATTATGGGATCTGCAGGGATTAGCTGTGAACGTGAGCAGTGTTTCACCGCTGCAGGAGAGCCTCAGACTCCATAACGGCCGCCGGCTCTCAGATAAGACGCTCTGGCCTTTCAGTGCCGCCAAACGGGTCGCCAGGGCCGAGAAAAGCCCCTCTGTTCAGAGCCAAAACACAGCTTGACCGCTTGATTTACTAGGTCAGTTTCCAAGAGAGTTCTCGTCTTGTTAAGAATAAGAGACTAGTCGAACTCATTTCAGAACAAGAACAGCGTCACAGATGTGTCAAAAAAAAGGCCGGAGTGAAAAAGGTGACCTGATTTCAAACTGAAAGCCTTGTAGAAAAACCACAATCTGAAAAAACAAACAAAAAAAAGATAAAATACTCAGTAACATGTATTAAATTAAATTAAATAATTAAAAATTATAAAATATTTTAAATACAATTATGTAAATATTTTATATAAATATATAAAATAAATTTAATTATTTATAAATGCAGTATATATATATATATACACAATTGGTTTATAATATTAGTTATTATATTACAAAAAAAAAAAAAAAATTAATGCATAAATATAACTAATATATCATTAATTACACATAAAAATATAAATAATAACTATACTGTATACAATACATTATTGATAATTATAAATACAAAAATACAAATAATGCATTATATATGGATACAAATATAGATTATTGAATATAATATTAATGTAAATTAAAATGAACGTCTTTATTATAATATTAATGTAAATTAAATAAAAATCAATTCGTTAAATGCTTAATTTATTTTATACTTATTTTTCCATCGTTATTGGCACCTTATGCTTTATGACACAGCTTTTATGTTATTTTTATTACTTGTTATTTGGATGAATGCTTTGGCAATATAAAAAACTACCACCATACTACTATAAACTACTCTCTGAGGCAATCTTTCAATTTTAAAGTAATCATAAAGATCGCAGCGATTGTGTTTCAGCTGTATAACAGAAAGGTCAAACACATGTAATGTAGTCGCAGTGAAGTGAAGCGTCTCGTACGGCTGTCACAGCGTGCGCTTTGAGACCGGCTCTGATTTTAATGGCTGTAAGAGTCTCTGCCCTGTTCAATTCAAAACTGACCACATGAGAGAAAAATCAATTCTCAGCGTCTCCAGAACGATGCCACACCAGCTCCTGATAACCAAACCAGCTGCACTTTCTACAGAGAATCTCAGAGTCTACGAAACCGTGCGGATCTGAGAACTGACGCATTTTAATAAAGAGAAAACAACCCTGTTCAATTATACATAAGCATAACAGCACACCAGGGACTCGGCTCTCAGGACTACGTGAGTAAGATTAAACAGGGTTTGTGTTCCACAGACATTTCTGGGTCACACCTTTATGGAGCACTCTTAAAAATAAAGGTTCTTTATTGGTATCAGTGGTTCCATAAAGAATCTTTAACAGCGCTGGAATCTCTACACTGCACAGAATGTTCTTCACACTAAGAACAACTCTTCACTGAAAGGTTCTTTGAGGAACCAAAACGGTTCTTCTATGACGTCTTGCCTTCTGGAACCTTTATTTTTAAGAGTGAACTCGAAACCTTTGCCGCTGGTTAAAGCTTGTTTGGGAGGATTCATGGGCTCACTATTTAAAACAACTAGTTTAAAACTGTCTAACACTGAACAGTTTATGAATTCTGTCCTCCAGGGTTAAGCTAAAACCACACAGGCATGCATTGAGACAAGCAAGTCATGTATATAATAATGAATCTGTAGCATGAATCAACACGCTTCCTTATGTTGAACATAAAAGAAGATATTTTAAAGAATGCTGGTAATCAAACAGTTGATGGTGCCCTTTGACTTCCATCGTATTTCTGACCAACAACTGTTTGAGTCTTCAAAATATCTTCAAAATATCTTCTTTTGTGTTCAACATAAGAAAGAAACGCATACAGGTTTGGAACGACATGAGGGTGAGTAAATGATGACACAGTTTTCATTTTTGGGTGAACTATCCCTTTAAGTATGTTGGATATATTTTAGACAATATCTGTGGGGGAAAAAAATAAGGTTTTCTAATTTGTGTTTGAATAGAAAATTATTTCATTCATTCATAAATAAATAAATAAATAAATGCAATTAATGGATCTATATATTAAATCATATTTTTTCCCCCAGAAAATTATTAGTGGAAAAGTTTAATACAGTTTTTCAAATTTTTGTTTGAACATAAAATGACTTTAATTCATTCATAAATAAAATAAAATAAAATATATATGAAACTATATCATTAATCAACATGTCAAGTACTCTTTTTTTGTGTGGACAATATCAGTGAAACGTTTCGACAGAGTTTTCAAGATTGGGTTTAATCAGAAAATGTACTTTCATAAATAAATAAATAAATAAATAAACAAACAAAACAATTAAGTATGCTTCCCCCCCCCCTGGACAACTTCTGTGGAAAAGTTTAATAGATTTCAAGATTGTGACTTTCATTTTCAGAAAATGACTTTCATTCATTCGTAAACAAACAAACAAACAAACAAAAGCAAGCAAGCAAGCAAGCAAACAAACAAACAAACAAACAAAAGCAAGCAAACAAACAAACAAAAGCAAACAAACAAACAAAAGCAAGCAAACAAACAAACAAACAAACTAAAGCAAACAAACAAACAAACAAACTAAAGCAAACAAACAAACAAAAGCAAACAAACAAGAATAAACAAACAAACAAACAAACAAAAGCAAGCAAACAAACAAACAAACAAACTAAAGCAAACAAACAAACAAACAAACAAACAAACTAAAGCAAACAAACAAACCAACAAACAAACAAAAGCAAGCAAACAAACAAACAAACAAAAGCAAGCAAGCAAACAAACAAACAAACAAACAAACAAACAAACAAACTAACTAACTAAAGCAAACAAACAAACAAACAAAAGCAAACAAACAAACAAAAGCAAGCAAACAAACAAACAAACAAACAAACCAACAAACAAACAAA